CTCCCTCCCTCCCTCCCTCCCTCCCTCCCCTGCTCCTCACCGAGCTTTCGCTCCCTCTCAGTCTCTCATCCTGCTGGTACAGCGGGATCGGGTCGAAAGAGCAGCGAACAAGGCATCTGAGTACCTCAGTAGCCTTCAGGTCCTCCGCCTCCTCCTCCTCCTCTTGATGCTCCTTGTTTTGTTCGTCTTCATCCTCCCCTTCTCTCTCTTCCTTCCCCCTCTCTCTCCTTTTCTGACGGGAGTCTGGCAGGTGTTGAGCCCGGACAACCCATGCCGAGGAGGTTTCAAGAGGGCCAAGAGGAAGAGACCAACACACTTCCCCGGAGAGCAGGAGGTAGAGAAGGGGGAGGGGGGGAGAAGGGAGGGGAAAGAGTCGGAGATGTTTTCGGATCGGAGGAACAAGGAGGAAGGAGCAGAAGCGAGAGAAATGAATCGGGAGACAAGAGGGAGAAGGCGGAATGGAAGGATGAAAGGAGCAAAGAGGAGAGAGGAGAGGAGGCGGAAGAGAAGGAGGACAAGGAGGAGAAGGAGGAGGAGGAGGAGGAGTTCTATCAAGGGATGAGACGGCTAGCAGGAGTCTAACCGTCACATCGACGACGTTCGGATGGACTGGGTGGCTGACGCGATGATGGCGCTGATGGGACAGCGAAGAAGCTTGCTGGATAAGCACAACTGACAAGTCTAGAAAATATTTCCTCCTCCTCCTTTACCCCCTCTCACCCTCCCTCTCCATCCTCCTCCCCTTACTTGTACATTTTCATCGTTCAAAGCAGCTCCCTCGAAAGACTTGACTGGATAAGTGCATTCATTCGAGTCTTCCTATCACAGACGTAGTGACTCCTCTATCCAGCTGCTGCTGAGCAGATGCTGCTGAGATTGAAGTCTTGTTATCACAGATGCTGCTGCTGAGATTGAAGTCTTGTTATCACAGATGCTGCTGCTGAGATTGAAGTCTTGTTATCACAGATGCTGCTGAGATTGAAGTCTTGTTATCACAGATGCTGCTGCTGAGATTGAAGTCTTGTTATCACAGATGCTGCTGCTGAGATTGAAGTCTTGTTATCACAGATGCTGCTGCTGAGATTGAAGTCTTGTTATCACCTCCATGCTGCCCTGGTCTCTATTCCTCTCCCTGTCCCTTCCTCTCTCCATGCAGAGGAATAGTTCGGAACGAGAGAGAGACAAGACAGGATCAAGCTCTACCATCCTTCCCCTCCTTCTCTCCTCCCCCTCCTCCCCCTACACCTTCTCCCTTTCCTGTTCCCCTCCCACCTCTCTCCCTGGGTCTGAAGGGGATTTGTAGCAAAGTACCCCCTACTTGACCTCAAGTACCCCCTGTTTGCTACTTCAGTACCCCCTACTTGACCTGAAGTACCCCGTACTTGACCTGAAGTACCCCCTGTTTGCTACTTCAGTACCCCGTAATTGACCTCAAGTACCCCGTACTTGACCTCAAGTACCCCCTGTTTGCTACTTCAGTATCCCCTACTTGACCTCAAGTACCCCCTACTTGACCTCAAGTACCCCCTGTTTGCTACTTCAGTACCCCCTGTTTGTAGGTTAAGTACCCCTTTCTGCTGTTTGTCCATCAGGGTACATAACAGGACCTGACGCCCTCTCGTACGAGCATCGCTCTTCCTCCTCCTCCTTGCTATGATATCCATGTACTCACTCTTCCTCCTCCTCCTTGCTATGATAGCCATGTACAGCGAGAGCATCGTCTCCTATTCCCTTGCGCCCCAGCTTGCGTCCAGCTCCTACCACTACCTCAAAGCCTTCGCAGGCTTCAGCAGCAACAAGCTTGACAGCACGCGGAGGTTCCTAGCCTCTCTGCCCTGCGGCGACAACATCTTGAAGAGCAGCACCACAAACTCAACCAGCACAACTCCATGGCGCCGCACATCGCAGAATGTGGCAGCAGCAGCAGGAGGAGCTCTGGGTGGTGCGATGCTCGCCACAGCCGCTGCCGTGGCTGGAGTACAAGCCATCGGTTTCACCAGCACGGGCATCGCCGCAGGCAGCACGGCAGCGTCGATGATGTCAGCCTCAGCCGTCGCATCTGGAGGAGGCGTCGCGTCCATGGCATCAGGAGGAGTAGTAGCGGCGCTTCAGAGCATCGGCGCTACTGGCATGCTGGGACTGTCTGCTAGAGCTGCGTTAGCGTCTGCTAGTGCGATAGCCTGTAGCTCGGCGACGTACGGGAGCTACAGGACAGGCAGGTATGCGTACACCTGGTACTCTGAGCGGAGGGCGAGGCTGAAGAATCAGCAGCCGGACAAGGACCCGATCTCACAGTGAGAAGCTCCGGCTGGAGCAGCGAGCGAGTTGAATGTGTGTAGCTTGGTATGAGTAAAGAAGAGATACTAGTCGAGTGAAGCAGAGAAGCTTGCCTGACCGTGGTCTTGCTCATCAGCTCGATCTCACGCTCCGTTGGTGAGCCTCTTGCTTGCAAAGACGAGTGATGCTGGTCCTGAGGTGCGAACGACTTCGAGGAGGAGGCAGGGCAGGAAAAGCTGTAGATCCACTGCAAGTGAAGGAAAGAAGCAGAACCTGAGCTGCAGGCGACGATGCGTCAAAGGTGCAGGAGGTGAGAAAGGCAGCGAAGAAGTACCGAGTGAGCAGGACAAAACTGCTGCAGCGATGAAAGATGAGACGAGAGCGAGAAGAGAGTGTGAGAAAATCGACGAGAAAACATTTAGGGTAACCACGAAAAGAGAAAGGTCATCATGAAGACAAGCCGACAGTCATATGACTCTTCTTGTCTGCTGGAACTAGACTCTGAGGACTGCGCATGTCGACTTCAGCAACAAGGTCCTTAGAGCACCAGAGAGCTCTCAGGACCCTCCTCTTACTCTACCCTCCTCCATCCCTTTTTTCTGGCTCGAGCCTCTGATCGATGGGGTAGCGCAGACGAGCAAGGAGCTGGGCAGAGAGTCTGCGTATCGGGTTGAGCTCCGCTTGCGAGTAGGCGCTTGTGCACCCCTGGTTGAGCTCTGGCAGCGAGATGTTCCTGACGAGCTCGACCCGAGACGCGACCATCCCACTACTCGCGTAAGCGCCAAGAGTGGGAGCTGGGCATGTTGAAGCCCAAACAAGAACACTCAGATCAGCAGGAGAATATGCGATGATGTCGATTCTTACGCAGCACTGGTTGATCCATTTCGGAGTTGGCCCATCATTCAGCAAGAGATGCCAGACAAAAGCAAGATTGAATTTAGTCCCCATTGTCCCCTAGCGCATCATATGATATGATCCTTACGCGCTTATAGACAGATTCCATCCACCCAAGCCAGGAAAGAGTAGGAATTGCAAAGCAAATGTCAGCCAAATCGTCCCCTGAACCGCACATTTCGAGAAGATACTTACAAGCTATCCAGCCCAATCAGCAAGTTCACCAGACCAAAATCAATGCCAAATCACAAAAATATTGTCAGTCCAATCATCCCCTGAAAGCATACTTCATCATTGTTACTTACCGGCTATCCAGCCCAATCAACATCCCATCGGAGGATTAACCGTAAAAATTACGAAATTTGTCAGTCAATCATTCCTTGAGCGCATCATATGATATGACACTTACTCCCTATTCAGTCCATGCATGCAAGGCAAAACCAGGAATTTTCAAAATAAATATCAGTCCAATCATCCCCTGAACGAGCACATGCTGCACAGAATAATGCTTACCGCCTTCCGAATAATATCATGGCCATTCACGGCAGAGCGTGACAGATACGAAGTCAGATGATGCCAACTAGGAGCTATTCAAATTATGCATTTTGTGCTGTCGTTGGTACCAAGATCGACCATGATCTGGAGAAAAAGCAGTCAAAAGGAGGAAGTGAAGGAGCCGCCCAGAAAAGGAGTTGAATGATCGAAGGAACAGATGCGGGGGAGCAAAAGAAACATCTCCGTCATCAAGCATGTAACTGAAGGTATCAGCATCTCATCACAGCTGCTCCTTGCCTGGCATTTTTGGCAGTTGAACGGCATCGCGCCTCTCCCCGGCTGCTTCCCCCCCCACCCTTTGTTGCCACCCCGTGGGCCAGGAGGAGGTGAAGCTGCTAGCATTCTCTTGGTTTGTGCTGATGCCCTGTAAGATCATCCAGGTTGACGGCTGTTGCTACAACCTAAACAACAGCTTCAACCTGTCTGCCTGTCCAAACTGAAACTTGAGCGTCTGCAAACAAGTCTAACTCCCAGCCTCTCCCGCCACCAGCCTCATGTTGCAGCCTTCGACGCTTCATCGGCGCGGTAGTGATAAGGCGCGGAAAGAAGAAGAGAAAGTACAAGAGCAGCTGAATACATCAAGATCGCCATCAAGTGAAAAGACTATCATCTTGGCCGAAGAGCTTCAGAAACCATCGGTAGGCTTGATGGGAACCCAGAGTGCCTGAATTCCTCCCAGGCTTGCCAGGAGTTCAACGTCAAGACGATGAAACAAGATCTCAAAACGGCTCATGAAGAAGCGGAGGAATCCTTACGCAGATTCAAGTCTGAGAACCTTCAGCTCCAGAAGGGAAATGGAAAGCAGGGGCTGCAAGACATCGCTGTTGCCGTCAGGGCCATATGATCCTCCTCCTCTTCTCCCTCCTCCTCCACCCCCCTCTCCCTCCTCCTCCCACTACCTCCACCTCCACCTGCTCCTCTGGTCCTCAAGACTTTCAAACACAGCCCTCTTCCGGCTTGTCAGTACCCACCTACGTTTCCTTGCTGATTTTCATTCATATGATAAACACTCAACATTGCTTTAGTGGGGCAAGGAATAGCAGGGCAAGGGAGGTGAAGGTGAAATCAAGGATCAAGCTGATGGATATTTATTCATGCAAAGTACTCAAGCGAAGACCTGCAATCGAGATGAAAGCATGTCCTCTACTTCATGCCCTGGCTAGAGTTCAGTTCCCATAAGCACTCAATGCGAGACGAGACTATCTTGTTCCATCCCTTGACCCCTCTCTCAGTTTCATCGTCTCAACTTTGATCACCCTTGTATCTTGTACGGCTCAGACTTGTTGGTCTTCTGGTAGTCTTTTGCATGGTTTGAGTTCCAGGTGACGACTGAAGGCAGACAGGTGTAGGACAAGGTAATTCTGATGAAACCATCCACCTTGTACAAGTGTCCCTCTCCTTCCTCCACTTCCTTGGTCATGGCACAAAGATGAACCGCTACTAGATTCTCTTCTCCAAAATTCGCACATGCATTTTCCTTGTAGACAAGTGAACTCAGAAGTGTCGATGAATCCACCATTGGGACCCCCATCTTGCTACTCTTCCATATAGTTATGTGAAAATTGGATGCCTTCATCTCCAGCGTGACACCTGTTCCAGAGCTCTTCACGGCCTCACGCACGATACATGAGATGCTTGGTAAGAAGCCATCGTGCAGAACCTTGATCCAGAGAACTGGGTACCTGTTGCTGAACATGGAGAGGCCTTGGAGCTTGAGACAGCACACCGCCGTGCCCTTCCTATCCTTCATACACTCGACAATATCTTGGGCTCTTGCCTGCAGGGCCTGACGTACTCGTGACACAGCATCGTCGTCGGCACATCTTAATACAGCAAGGGTCACGTGCAGCTTGGTAAGTTTGCTCATTCCGTCTTTCATCGTCGGGTGTGCTGCTGTAAACCTCTGCTGGATCTGGGCAACTCGCTCCAAGACGCATGGATTAACGATCGGCAACGAAACAAAGTGAGTCCATTTCTTGACATGTTGGGGAGCTGCTTCTCCCACTCTCCTGAAAGAATTGGGGTATGAGAATCAAATCCACTCTTCATGCCAAGACATCAAAACTCACCTTGCTTCATATGAGCTACCGTAGCCTCTACCTCTGACATCCATTCTTTGCAGCATGACCTTTCCGGCGAAGCCCTCCTTGCCACTTCCTGCTAGTCTCGCAGAGACTCCTGCTCCTGCACCTGCTCCTGCTCCTGCACTGCTTCCAACTCCTCCATCAACCTGGCAGCGGACAATGTCCCTCCAGCTCCTTGTCTCCCATACCCTTGCCATGCTGTCCCCTGAGACCGAAGCAAAAGTCTTCTTGTCCGACTCCGTTCTTGGCACTTGCTCGGCTGTTCTTTGCAGCTCCTTCATTCCACTTCCTATTTGTCCCTCATGCTGGGCTCCTCCTACTTTCCCTTGAGGTTTGGCTTCGATCTCAGCTCCGCCTGGCCGGCATCGCCGTATGCTCTGCAGCATCCGATGCCTGTCTCCCTCTCTCATGCCTCCAGAGCTGCTCAGCGACACCTCCAGCGTCTCCGTCAACCTCAAGCGAGCATCGCTGCGAACGCTCTCAGATAGCTTTCTCCTTTCTCCAGGCGGTCTCGGAACCAGCATGCCAAGCTCCGTCAAGCTGCATGGTCCGTAAGTCGTGACGTGCATGATGATCTGGTCCATCCATGAAGTGGCGTGATCAGCTGAGGCCTGCTCGACCCCAGCTGATCCTCCACCTTCCAACCCAGGCGCTGAGGCAGACCTCTGTCCCTGCTTGACCTTTGACTTTCGCTGTTGGACTTGATTGACAGTTGGTTCCTGAACCTTGTCTTCGAGCTGTTTCTTGCAATGGTTGCATCCGTTCTGCCGGCAACATGCGCCAGTGTTATCAGTGTCATACACATCCTGCACTTTGAAAGACCTGTTCGTAACTCGACCATCCCCTGGACTTGGCGCACTGAGCACACCCAGGTCAGTTGACTCATTCAGCGTCATCTCTGTCTCTCGCAATCTGCTCAACTTACATTCTGCATCGGTTGTTTTCACAACAATATACAACAGCGCAGGGTCAGCACAACATTGAAGAGGAATTCAGAAACTTCTTACACAGCACTGAAAGCATGAAGCCAAGAAATTTGAAATGCAAGGAGAACGTCAGTTCCAAAAATATCTCAAAGCTATGTTTCATCATGATACTCACCCACTATGCGGCCCCACGCCCGAACCAGCCCATCATGCGACCCCAAACATGTCAAGGCAACAGAATGTCATTCCATCTTCATTCCTGACTGTATCGCTGAGTAAGAATACTCACCCACTATTCAAGCCAAGCCAGAAAGATTGTAAGCAAGGAAAGATCAGTACATAGCCTCCGATCGCATGTATGACGATACTCACATACTATCCAGACAGTATCCAAGTTGACAACAAGAACAATCGAAAACCCAAATGTCACCAACGTTCTCTTACTGGGTGATAGTTCAATTGGATACTCACTGCCTATCCAGCGACCGCAACAGAGAATTGATGAACAAGCGATTGGAACAAGACACACAAATCAGTTCATCTCTGAGCTCATCGTTTGTTATGCTACTTACTCCCTATCGGACAGATTTCATCCATTCACGTAAGCATATCAAAAAGCGTGATTAGTGACAACTGAAACATGTTCCAGTGAAAATACTCACTTCCTATCCAGCCCCGTCTCAGAGATCCATCCCAGTCACAAGAGACAACAAACCGATTCGCAACAACGACATGTCAGCCTCTACTCGCAATTCCCAATAGGGTACTTACTCCTCTCTATCCAGCCCGATAGCAATCGCATCCAAGTTGAAGATAGCGATGAGAACATGATGTTAGTTAGCCATAAATGAGCTGAAGCAAACAAAGGCACCGCCTACCAAACATAGCAGAGGAGATGAAAGGCGCGAAAAGTAAGCGCAAGACACAAAGTCAGATATTAGCAAGAAGGAATTCGAGAAAGTACGCAATTTCTGCCGGCATTGTTGTGAGGGCTGATCTCGATCTGGAGTGTTGTATGTAAGACCTTCAAGTTGCAGCATTGGGAGTAGGGTGCGCAGGAGCTGCGCATGGAGGAGGTGAAGGAGGTATGGTAGAAGGATCTCGAGAGCATAGAAGGTCTCTTCATCAAGCAAACAGGTGAGTCGGTCAATCCCTTCAGTTCCTCCCTTGCCTTGCAATCCATGCAGTTCCAACCCATGGCGCAATCCCTTCAATCTTTTCCGGGTTCTTTTGGTTATGTCATGAAGGGGGTGGTAGTACTACCCACCGCTTCAAGACTGACACTACCCACCCTGTCGTTGAGTTAGGATTTGTGGCAAAGTACCCCCTACTTGACCTCAAGTACCCCCTGTTTGCTCCCTCAGTACCCCCTACTTGAGCTCAAGTACCCCCAGTTTGCTACTTCAGTACCCCCTACTTGACCTCAAGTACCCCGTACTTGACCTCAAGTACCCCCTGTTTGCTACTTCAGTACCCCCTACTTGACCTCAAGTACCCTCTGTTTGCTACTTCAGTACCCCCTGTTTGTAGGTTAAGTACCCCTTTCTGCTGTTTGCCCACATAACAGGACCTGACGCCCTCTCGTACGAGCATCCCTGTTCCTCCTCCTCCTCGCTATGATATCCATGTACAGCGAGAGCATCGTCTCCTATTCCCTTGCGCCCCAGCTTGCGTCCAGCTCCTACCACTACCTCAAAGCCTTCGCAGGCTTCAGCAGCAACAAGCTTGACAGCACGCGGAGGTTCCTAGCCTCTCTACCCTGCGGCGACAACATCTTGAAGAGCAGCACCACAAACTCAACCAGCACAACTCCATGGCGCCGCACATCGCAGACTGTGGCAGCAGCAGCAGGAGGAGCTCTGGGTGGTGCGATGCTCGCCCCAGCCGCTGCCGTGGCTGGAGTACAAGCCATCGGTTTCACCAGCACGGGCATCGCCGCAGGCAGCACGGCAGCGTCGATGATGTCAGCCTCAGCCGTCGCGTCTGGAGGAGGCGTCGCGTCCATGGCATCAGGAGGAGTAGTAGCGGCGCTTCAGAGCATCGGCGCTACCGGCATGCTGGGACTGTCTGCTACAGCTGCGGTAGCGTCTGCTAGTGCGATAGCCTGTAGCTCGGCGGCGTACGGGAGCTACAGGACAGGCAGGTACGCGTACACCTGGTACTCTGAGCGGAGGGCGAGGCTGAAGAATCAGCAGCCGGACAAGGACCCGATCTCACAGTGAGAAGCTCCGGCTGGAGCAGCGAGCGAGTTGAATGTGTGTAGCTTGGTATGAGTAAAGAAGAGATACTAGTCGAGTGAAGCAGAGAAGCTTGCCTGACCGTGGTCTTGCTCATCAGCTCGATCTCGAGGCGGCAGCGGCAGCATCATGCTGGATAAAGCGACATCTTGGGTAAGACTGAGAGTGTCATAAGAGAGTATCGTAAGGGCATCAGGGCAGTCATATTGTGTGTCGCGGGGCTCTCCGACAAGAAGCATCTGTCACTGAGCAGAAGTACAGTTGATGGAAGCTAAAGAATCACTGCTGTCTTGTTGACTTGTCTTTACTGAATCATCTCTTGAGAGATACTCCGAAGATTTGTCTTTACGAATCAACGGAGTATCCTGAGATAGATGGATTGACAACAATACATGTGAAAACTTCATAATACAGAATGCTACATTTGCGTTGTGACTCACCTTCAGTATCTATCTTGCAGCCATGAGCAAACGTCTGTACATGACGACAACTGTCATCACGATACGCAGACTCTCTGCCAAGCTCCTTGCTCGTCTGCGCTACCCCATCGATCAGAGGCTCGAGCCAGAAAAAAGGGATGGAGGAGGGTAGAGTAAGAGGAGGGTCCTGAGAGCTCTCTGGTGCTCTAAGGACCTTGTTGCTGAAGTCGACATGCGCAGTCCTCAGAGTCTAGTTCCAGCAGACAAGAAGAGTTATATGACCGTCGGCTTGTCTTCATGATGACCTTTCTCTTTTCGTGGTTACCCTAAATGTTTTCTCGTCGATTTTCTCACACTCTCTTCTCGCTCTCGTCTCATCTTTCATCGCTGCAGCAGTTTTATCCTGCTCACTCGGTACTTCTTCGCTGCCTTTCTCACCTCCTGCACCTTTGACGCATCGTCGCCTGCAGCTCAGGTTCTGCTTCTTTCCTTCACTTGCAGTGGATTTACAGCTTTTCCTGCCCTGCCTCCTCCTCGAAGTCGTTCGCACCTCAGGACCAGCATCACTCGTCTTTGCAAGCAAGAGGCTCACCAACGGAGCGTGAGATCGAGCTGATGAGCAAGACCACGGTCAGGCAAGCTTCTCTGCTTCACTCGACTAGTATCTCTTCTTTACTCATACCAAGCTACACACATTCAACTCGCTCGCTGCTCCGGCTAGCCGGAGCTTCTCACTGCGAGATCGGGTCCTTGTCCGGCTGCTGATTCTTCAGCCTCGCCCTCCGCTCAGAGTACCAGGTGTACGCATACCTGCCTGTCCTGTAGCTCCCGTACGCTGCCGTACCGGCGACAGCAGCACCGACACACGCTACGGCAGCTGTAGCAGACAGTCCCAGCATGCCGGTAGCGCCGATGCTCTGAAGCGCCGCTACTACTCCTCCTGATGCCATGGACGCGACGCCTCCTCCAGATGCGACGGCTGAGGCTGACATCATCGACGCTGCCGTGCTGCCTGCAACGATGCCCGTGCTGGTGAAACCGATGGCTTGTACTCCAACCACGGCAGCGGCTGGGGCGAGCATCGCACCGCCCAGAGCTCCTCCTGCTGCTGCAGCCGCCGCTCCTGATGAGATCCCGGGCCCTGCACGTGCAGTGCTTTCAGTTGTGCCGTTGAGGTCTGTGTCCTCCCACTCCACGATCCATCCAGCTTGCAGCTCGTCGACCCCTTCAGACGCGTCTAGACAAGTCAAAGGTTTCTTCTCATCAGCATCAGCATAGAAGAGCGGTCCGTTGTCAAGCTTCTCGTCCTTCGGGCGCCAACCGAAAATGCGAACAAACTGCTTGTCTCTGACCTTGTAGGCAAGCGAACCATCGACTTCTCCGTTGAACGGCTCGAGTCGAACCTCTGGCAGGGCGTTGCCGGAGCCTTGCAGCATCGGAGCAGTCTTCTCAAGGGCTTGAGAAGTTTCTGGTGGGTTCATCTCGCCATGAGCTCTGTCGGTGTCGTGTGCATCAGGAGAGCTTGTCGGCGCCATGCCCTCTCCTCCTTTCGCCATGGATGGATGAGAACGTAGGATAGGTGGGTTGCAGTCCTGGTGTAAATAAGGGGTAGTCTGTGGGCAAACAGGGGGTACTGAAAAGTGTGGTGGTGGTTGGGGGGCGGGGGGGGTGGCGGGGGAGGGGGGAGGGGGGGGGACATTTATGACATGGGGAGGGAGGGGGTACTCTGAATGATTTTGAGGTGCAGACAGGGGGTACTCGTAGGATCAAGGACCCCTGGGTACTATTACCACCCCTCGATTTACGGTCCCCAACAAGTGCATGGGCAAACAGGGGGTACGGAAGCATAGGGTGGGGTCCAGGGGGTGGACCTCCACTAAGGGTGGGTGGTCGATGCAAACCCCTGCTGGCGATGACTATGGGGGCGTGCGGGGATAGCGAAGATGCGCGAGCGAGGAAGTGAAGTGAGAGGAGAGAGCTCTGAAAGCTGCGATGGATGGACGCCTTCCCTCGCATCACCAGCACAGAGCTTGCTGTGACCCACAAGCTGTTCGAAGCAGGTCGTCCTACGGGAGAACTCAGGATAGCTGCTCATCCTTCCTCCGCAGACCTGCAAAATCTCGTCAAGAAGATACAGAGATATGACGTGGACATCATGGTGGTGTTTGACCCGGCAAGGGGGAGGGAAGGGCCGGAGGCATCGCCAGGTACCTCACGACAAGAAGCATTAAGGACGCGCTTTACGGGTTACATACATGTAGATCGAATGCTCAAGGCGCCTCCGCTGGATCAGCATAAAGGTGCGGTGCAGTGATGTAGCTGAAGAGGCTGATTCTTGTATAGGCTAAGGCAAGGACTAGCGCTAGTGCTCCCTAAGGCAAGGACTAGCGCTAGTGCTCCCTAAGGCAAGGACTAGGGGTAGTGCTCCCTAAGCCAAGGACTAGCGCTAGTGCTCCCTAAGGCAAGGACTAGCGCTAGTGCTCCCTAAGGCAAGGACTAGCGCTAGTGCGTGCTCCCTAAGGCAAGGACTAGCGCTAGTGCTCCCTAAGGCAAGGACTAGCGCTAGTGCTCCCTAAGGCAAGGACTAGCGCTAGTGCTCCCTAAGGCAAGGACTAGCGCTAGTGCTCCCTAAGGCAAGGACTAGGGGTAGTGCTCCCTAAGCCAAGGACTAGCGCTAGTGCTCCCTAAGGCAAGGACTAGCGCTAGTGCTCTCTAAGGCAAGGACTAGCGCTAGTGCTCCCTAAGGCAAGGACTAGCGCTAGTGCTCCCTAAGGCAAGGACTAGCGCTAGTGCTCCCTAAGGCAAGGACTAGCGCTAGTGCTCCCTAAGGCAAGGACTAGCGCTAGTGCTCCCTAAGGCAAGGACTAGCGCTAGTGCTCCCTAAGGCAAGGACTAGCGCTAGTGCTCCCTAAGGCAAGGACTAGCGCTAGTGCGTGCTCCCTAAGGCAAGGACTAGCGCTAGTGCTCCCTAAGGCAAGGACTAGCGCTAGTGCTCCCTAAGGCAAGGACTAGCGCTAGTGCTCCCTAAGGCAAGGACTAGCGCTAGTGCTCCCTAAGGCAAGGACTAGGGGTAGTGCTCCCTAAGCCAAGGACTAGCGCTAGTGCTCCCTAAGGCAAGGACTAGCGCTAGTGCTCTCTAAGGCAAGGACTAGCGCTAGTGCTCCCTAAGGCAAGGACTAGCGCTAGTCCTCCCTAAGGCAAGGACTAGCGCTAGTGCTCCCTAAGGCAAGGACTAGCGCTAGTGCTCCCTAAGGCAAGGACTAGCACTAGTGCTCCCTAAGGCAAGGACTAGGGGTAGTGCTCCCTAAGGCAAGGACTAGCACTAGTGCTCCCTAAGGCAAGGACTAGCGCTAGTGCTCCCTAAGGCAAGGACTAGCGCTAGTGCTCCCTAAGGCAAGGACTAGCACTAGTGCTCCCTAAGGCAAGGACTAGCGCTAGTGCTCCCTAAGGCAAGGACTAGCGCTAGTGCTCCCTAAGGCAAGGACTAGCGCTAGTGCTCCCTAAGGCAAGGACTAGGGGTAGTGCTCCCTAAGGCAAGGACTAGCGCTAGTGCTCCCTAAGGCAAGGACTAGCGCTAGTGCTCCCTAAGGCAAGGACTAGCGCTAGTGCTCCCTAAGGCAAGGACTAGGGGTAGTGCTCCCTAAGGCAAGGACTAGCGCTAGTGCTCCCTAAGGCAAGGACTAGCGCTAGTGCTCCCTAAGGCAAGGACTAGCGCTAGTGCTCCCTAAGGCAAGGACTAGCGCTAGTGCTCCCTAAGGCAAGGACTAGCGCTAGTGCTCCCTAAGGCAAGGACTAGCGCTAGTGCTCCCTAAGGCAAGGACTAGCGCTAGTGCTCCCTAAGGCAAGGACTAGCGCTAGTGCTCCCTAAGGCAAGGACTAGCGCTAGTGCTCCCTAAGGCAAGGACTAGCGCTAGTGCTCCCTAAGGCAAGGACTAGCGCTAGTGCTCCCTAAGGCAAGGACTAGCGCTAGTGCTCCCTAAGGCAAGGACTAGCGCTAGTGCTCCCTAAGGCAAGGACTAGGGGTAGTGCTCCCTAAGGCAAGGACTAGCGCTAGTGCTCCCTAAGGCAAGGACTAGCACTAGTGCTCCCTAAGGCAAGGACTAGCGCTAGTGCTCCCTAAGGCAAGGACTAGCGCTAGTGCTCTCTAAGGCAAGGACTAGCGCTAGTGCTCCCTAAGGCAAGGACTAGCGCTAGTGCTCCCTAAGGCAAGGACTAGCACTAGTGCTCCCTAAGGCAAGGACTAGCGCTAGTGCTCCCTAAGGCAAGGACTAGGGGTAGTGCTCCCTAAGGCAAGGACTAGCGCTAGTGCTCCCTAAGGCAAGGACTAGCGCTAGTGCTCCCTAAGGCAAGGACTAGGGGTAGTGCTCCCTAAGGCAAGGACTAGCGCTAGTGCTCCCTAAGGCAAGGACTAGCACTAGTGCTCCCTAAGGCAAGGACTAGCGCTAGTGCTCTCTAAGGCAAGGACTAGCGCTAGTGCTCCCTAAGGCAAGGACTAGCACTAGTGCTCCCTAAGGCAAGGACTAGCACTAGTGCTCCCTAAGGCAAGGACTAGCGCTAGTGCTCCCTAAGGCAAGGACTAGCGCTAGTGCTCCCTAAGGCAAGGACTAGCGCTAGTGCTCCCTAAGGCAAGGACTAGCGCTAGTGCTCCCTAAGGCAAGGACTAGCGCTAGTGCTCCCTAAGGCAAGGACTAGCGGTGCTCCCCCCTAAGGCAAGGACTAGGGGTAGTGCTCTCTAAGGCAAGGACTAGCGCTAGTGCTCCCTAAGGCAAGGACTAGCGCTAGTGCTCTCTAAGGCAAGGACTAGCGCTAGTGCTCTCTAAGGCAAGGACTAGCGCTAGTGCTCCCTAAGGCAAGGACTAGCGCTAGTGCTCCCTAAGGCAAGGACTAGGGGTAGTGCTCCCTAAGGCAAGGACTAGCGCTAGTGCTCCCTAAGGCAAGGACTAGCGCTAGTGCTCCCTAAGGCAAGGACTAGGGGTAGTGCTCTCTAAGGCAAGGACTAGCGCTAGTGCTCCCTAAGGCAAGGACTAGCGCTAGTGCTCCCTAAGGCAAGGACTAGCGCTAGTGCTCCCTAAGGCAAGGACTAGGGGTAGTGCTCCCTAAGGCAAGGACTAGGGGTAGTGCTCCCTAAGGCAAGGACTAGCGCTAGTGCTCTCTAAGGCAAGGACTAGCGCTAGTGCTCCCTAAGGCAAGGACTAGCGCTAGTGCTCCCTAAGGCAAGGACTAGCGCTAGTGCTCCCTAAGGCAAGGACTAGCGCTAGTGCTCCCTAAGGCAAGGACTAGCGCTAGTGCTCCCTAAGGCAAGGACTAGGGGTAGTGCTCCCTAAGGCAAGGACTAGGGGTAGTGCTCCCTAAGGCAAGGACTAGCGCTAGTGCTCCCTAAGGCAAGGACTAGGGGTAGTGATCCTTGCTGCTCGAGCACACTCGCCTCGTCCGAGCTCTCGCTTCTTGCAAGCTTCTGCTCCGCTTCTGACCAGGAATGAGGAAACCACCCGTACTGATGAGGCTCTCTCGGCCACCAGGGGTCATCCTCTAGAGCACATCTAGCCGTTACATGCTATTGAGCCTAGCCTTGTCAAGTAAGCACAGGAGGAAGAAGTCATAAATCATGTCAGGAGAAAGATAGAAATAAGCATTAGGCACCAGATATGCTGGATAAGAGGAGATGAGGGTTCCTTGCTGTCTCTATGTTGGTACTCAGACGATTAATGATTGAGCTGATCCAGTCAAGCGGATCCAACAGCTTCTCCTCATCATCATCTCCATCTCCATCTCCATGATAATCATCATCATTCTCATCATCATCATCATCATCATCATCATCATCATCATCATCATCA